GGGTTTTAGTTCGTACGAACGGATCCCTGTCTCTTTTGGTCGTCATTGTAAATTTTATTACTATAGCTAGGGACGTTGAAACAGATCAGTCCTCTCCCATCAGCTCGGCCAGTTCTCGCTCTTCTTCCTCCGTCAGCATCGAGCCTGAATTCTGCGGTTGTTCATCCTCCTCGGGGGTGGTCTTCTTCGCCCTTTCCACCGCTTCCTGAAGGTCCTGGGGTTTCAGAGACCACTGTCGAATAGTGGCATCGATACTGACGCTGACTACTGTCGATCCGACAAGCGCCAGTCCGCTGACTTCCTCGAAATGGCCCGAAAAGGTGTGGTGAAGTTTTCCAGTCTAATTCCCAGTGATGTTAGAAGGTCATGCGACAAGATGCCAAAAAAGGAGATGGACCACCCACCGATCGATTCCACACTCGGACCTCCTCGTCCCTGCATGCGGTGACGATCCACCCGCCCTGTTCGTAAACCACCACGTCTCGCACAAAGTCGGGGTGAGTCAGGGTGAGATTGGGCTTCCACCCATCTTCCCTCACCAGACACTTGGTGGTTTTATCCGCCGACGCAGTCCATAGGTCGCCATCGCGATCGAAGAAGAGTTTGTAAACGTTGGTGTCGTGAGCCAGCAAAGCATCGGTGCCGGTGAGATCCCGACTTCCGGTGGCAATATCGAATTGACGGATTTCGCGGTCACTGCCCGCACTGAACACGATGAATTCCTGGCCATCCGACTCCAACGAGACGGGGTCCACCACCAGGTCCTGGATTCCCTTGGCGTGGCCTTTCAGGACCGAAATGCGCTTCCCCGTGGCGATGTCGAAAACCAAGATTTGAGCATCGGCACCTCCGGAAATGAGAACGTCCTGACCATTGAGTCTGGCGCTGGCGACGGATCTTACGAAATCGGTATGGCCATCGTACTTTAGCTTCGGTTCCCTCGAGGCCACATCCCAGCTCCAAATCAATTTGTCCCAGCAGCCAGCAAACAACGACCGACCGTCGGGGCTGAAGCAGAGACTCGTGATGGGGGCCGAGGGTCCTTTATAGATGGCAGCCGTGTCACCTGTCTACAAAACAAACGCAAGCACCGAAGGAGCCTTAGTTACAAGCACCCTGCGGAGGTATCCAGAATCAAGCCGGGACACCGGGCACACCTACTTCAAGTATGACCTTTCTCACGGTGCCACCACTCTGGGCCACGAACACGGCGTCGGGATTCACGGGGTCGGCTTGGACGGCCAGTATTTTACTCTGTAGCTTGATAGGGGAGCCATTTGTGTTGCGAGACTTTGCGTCCTTTCGCTGCTGCTCGTCGAGGGCCGCTCTGGAATCCGGGGAGGGGCAAAGATCAGCGATGCGGGAAGTAGGGAGGAATTGGTGGCGATCAGACGAACGTGGTTTGGAAGAAATGGTCAGGATTGTCAGAGCGAGACATGACGGGACAACTAGACGATTGAAATGAATTGAATAGATGGGTTAGATGAACTGGACTGAATGGACTGACTAGACTGAGCTGTAGAGAGAGAAGTGGAGCCATGACGCCGAAATTTCAGGCAACCTGCGCCGGGAGCTCCTGCGGTCCGCCGTATCCCGCAAGCTTTTCCACAAAATCCTCGCTTCGTCTTCTCTCTTCTTCTCTCCCTTTCTCACCTTTCCCCGTCCTATTTATTCTCGCCCACTCCCCCCTCGCTTTCTTCTTCTCTTCTCTTCTTCCCTCTCTCATTGTTTTCTCCTCCCCTCTCAGCGCGATTGACGCGCAGCACTCCCTGTCAGCATGGATATGAACCATTTAATAGGGTCAGTCTTCTGCCTACTGGTCTGAACCAGGGTTTGTGCGGCTCGGCTGGAGTTAACACCTGGCAGTCAGCGGTTCAACCTGATCTCCAAGAGTGACATTCGGTATGTTCAATTCCTTTCCCAGCGGTGCTTCGCTTGGGTCGCCTCTCGTTCCACCTCGCCCTTGCGATCGTGCTGACCTTGCTGGCTAGCTATGTTGGTACTTTACACGAGATCAACCCCGAGGCTTCAACAATAGCCCTCGAGAATGTCGTCTCTTTCGGCACTGAAGGCCGACGCGGTAACCCCGCCGAGGAAATCCCCCCTTCGTCCAGCATCTACGAATACATTGTGTTCCGTGGTAGCGATGTGAAGGACATTAGTGTCGCCGAGGAGAAGGAAGCCCCACAGCCTGAGCCTCCTCAGGTGCCTGATGATCCTGCTATTCTTGGAGTGAGTTACACCATTCTGGCGAATCCCTCGATTCTACCCCTCCAGTTACTCGGTGCCCGAGTCCACCGACCGTCCCGCGGTCGGCGACATGATCTTATGATGAAATATTTCGGATGTAAATACACAGACCTGTTCCGAGAGCGCAAAACCATGTGGATATTTCCGTTGCCTTCCTTCTGATATGATCATGGACTCGGCACCGTGCCTAGCACCTATCACCGCGAGTGAAGCTGTCAGAATTTTTTGCTAACTGTCAGCGAAAACAGAGCATGTCACGACCTGGACCGGGACCAGGACAAGCACAAGGACCGCCAGGACCACCAGGACCGGGTCCTCAGGGACTTCCTCCTCATTCCCAACCCCCTCAACAGCCCGGGGCACCTCGCCCGGTTCCTCCTGGCTATCCTCAACCTCCCCAGTTCCAAGGATTCTACCCACCCTATGGACAACGGTTTGGAGCGCCTGGATTTCCTCCCGGACCGGGATTCCCCAACATGCCGTACGGCGCCCCGCCGGGATGGTTCCCCCCCTCCGGGTCAAGGCTTCCCCCAGGGTCCTGGCCAGTTCCCACCTCAGATGCCTATCGGTCCTCCTGGTCAACATCAGACACCCCCTCCTCAGCGGCAAGGACCTGTCCCCCGGTGGCCCTATGAACGTGCCCAAGACAACGTCCGAGCTGCCTGTCGGAGACAAGCCTGTTGAGCAAGCCTGCGAGCCGTGATGCCACTCCTGGACCCGGCGCACCGGCGCAGGTTGCTCCTACTCCCCCTGTTGAGTCCAAGCCTTCAGGGCGAGGCCGTACAGGCATCTGCGGGACCTGCCCAAGGCCCACCCGCCGGACTGAACAAGGTCCCCCGACCGGCCCACGGAATGGTCGCGTGCAGCCGGCGATTCCCATCGCGGCTCCTAAGGCGCCTGTAACCAATGCTCCGGCAGCCCCTGGAAATAATGTCCCTCAAGGCTCCCAGGCCGCGGATTACCGAAGCTTACCGGGCGGCCACTGCTGCGGTTGCAGCCGCCATGGCCAAGCTGCCTCAGCCTGGTCCCCAGCAGAAGTCGGGAGCTGCGCCCGTCGATAACCTGACGCGGCAGATGGCTGAAATGAAGCCTTACGATGGCACTCGACCTCAGCGTGGTCATCATCAGCACCCTCGCGGCGGACGCGGTGGCCAGCGCACCCAATACCAGGGACACAAGAAGGTCGAAGTTCCGGACACGGACTACGATTTTCAGACCGGCCAATGCCAGGTTTCAACAAACAGGACCTGCTCAAGGAAGCCATTGCCACTGGTTCCCCGGTCCACGAGGTTGAGCCTCAATTCCCGGACGGCGACGTATCGGAAGTTGCCAGTGCTGGTGGAGCCAGCGATGCCACTCCCTACAACAAGTCCAGCTCATTCTTTGACAACATCTCGAGCGAGGCTCGCGACCGCGAAGAAGGAGCTGGCGGCCGCGTCGGTGGCCGTGAATGGCGCGGTGAAGAAGAGAAGCGCAACATCGAAACCTTCGGTCAGGGCAGCGTCGACGGCTATCGCGGTGGCTACCGTGGCCGTGGCCGCGGCCGTGGCTATGGTCGTGGACGTGGTGGTTACAACCGCGGCTACGGTGGTCGTGGACGCGGCGGCGGCATCCGAGGTGGCCGCAATGTCTCTCAGTCCACCGGAGTTCCCACGCAGACCTAATCTCTCCTGGATGTCGTTTCTTCCAACCTAATTTCTTTTCTCATGATGCACTTAGCGATGAACATGTCCCGCTCCGGAAGTGAATGAGTCCTTCCATGTTTTTATTTATCTTGATTTGCGATATTCTCTGGCGTCTGGTGGTAGCTTGCTACTGATACTTCTTGGCACATTCCCCTGGTCAAGCTTTTTTATTCTATTTTTTTTTCTGCTTGTGTTTAGGAGCAACACGGGAACTGGGTCATGGTGGGCATGGGGAGGTTCATGCGGTGTCGACTTTGTGGCGTTATTTTTGATTTCTGAATATGGGCAGGTTGCGACCTCGATAGCGTCGCCTACATATCCCTCCATCTGGACGATGATCATGTTTTGTCATTTAACATCCGACGCATTCGGAACACACCAGGACAGGGGCGGCCAGGAGGCGTTTGCCGATTGACGTCCGCCTCTTGATTCCTTGATCTTTGTGATCTTTCACATCTTTCTCATTCCTCTCCCTACTTGCACACTCTGTATGATTTCCTTGGCCTCCGGAGCCGAGCACCAGGGGTGACCCATTCTGTTCTGTATCATATTGCAAGAGATTCCACCCTAGACTCGCCCGTGACTGAAAATCCAGAAAAAACCAAAAACACGGAGACCATCTTGGTCTACCGGTGCCAATATGACTCCAAGAGTAAGAATGAGTGTAGCGATCGGCGGTTTATCCGCCTGAAACGTCATCCGATGGACCTCGGGTCTCCGCCGTGGAAGCGAGGAATCAACCATGGATGGAGGGACGCCTCAGGACTACGGGGTATTGTCAATCCTGGCCATCTTCGATCTCCAGCATGTGTTTCCTTGCAAGAAAGGGAATGAGGAGGGGATTTCCATACGAGGCTTTGGCGTGCACGCGACAAACAAGGGAAGCCACCTGATTGGCAGTCACGGGAATTGGAGGATCTCCAGTCTTCGTCTCTTGCGTCTTCGCCTCCTCGTCCGTCATACCCCCTCAAGCACCCCAGTCGGCTGTGGCTCTAGTGGATCAAGTCTCAATAATGCGTCCATTATTCTATTCTCCTCTCTCTCTCCCTCTCTCCACTCGACCCAAACTTCCTCGTTCCCCCAGTCCACAGTCTCCATTCCCAACGTTGCCCCAGAAAAACTGTCTGGCCCAAAACTATATAAAGCCGGTCCCTTGACGATCGCTCGCAAAGATGGCTCGCGTCGCAGAACGACTCGGCAGACTAACTGAATCCTTGACTCCCTCCGCCCCCGTCTCTGCTCTATCTTCTACCTCCAACTCCCCCGAGATGTCCGTTCAAGCACCGAACAACCTGCCCTGGGATCCCAACAATGCGCAATTTCCCTCCCGCAAGGAACTACCCAAGCTACCCGGCGCCCCGGAGGATGCAGCCTGGGTTTGGGGCAAAGACGATGCTGTGAGTTGCGCAGATAGACCCTTCGTCCTTCCCAATGCGGGATTACAAATCAGCTATCATCTCATACTTCCCATGTATGTCTCATGTGAGCTAAGCTGACTGGTGGCCACCTAGCTCGGCCGATTGAATCTCCTGACTTCACAGCGAGTAAAGGCTGCCGCCGCCGACATCCGGACGGGAGAAATGGTTCGATTGGAGTGAGTCGCCCGAGAGATGCAAATCCCGTCCGCGGAGTTGGCAGTTAACACCGTCGGCGAATTCCAGCCTCCCTGTGAACATCCCCGAGAACCCGGCCTTTGGACGCGAGCACTTCCAGCATCATATCAAATGTCTTGTCCCTGAGATCGCATATGACGACACTTATACTTTGAACACGCAGAGCGGCACCCAATGGGACGGTTTCCGACATGTATGTACCCAATACCACGGTCCGGACGTGACTCGGGCAGCGAAGCTAACGGTGCCACCATAGTTTGCCCACATTGACAGCAAGTCATTTTACAACGGAGTAAGTCGTGCTCCGATCCACTCTTCCACGTGGTATTGTCTGCCCTAACACGCATCAGACTACTGCCGCCGATATAGTTGGTGACGATGCCAATCACCGCTGCGGCATCCACGACTGGGCTAACCACGGCATCGCCGGCCGCGGTATCCTTCTCGACTACCGCCACTACGCCGAGACCCAGAACAACCACTACGACCCCTACACGGCGCACGCCATCCCGTTCGAGGAGCTGAAGGCCTGCGCCGTTTCGCAGGGCATCGACCTCCGTCCGGAGTCCCAAGGCGGCGACATCAAGGTCGGCGATATCCTCATGGTCCGCTCCGGGTTCGTCCAGCGATACCACGAGCTCAGCCCGGCCGAGCGCAAGGCCGGCGCCGAGCGACCCATGGAGGAGCTGCAGTGGGCCGGTCTGAAGCAGGAGGAGCCCACGCTGGACTGGTTGCACGATTGCTACTTCGCCGCGGTGTGCGGCGACTCGCCCACGTTCGAGTGCTGGCCGCCCATCCAAGAGAACGGGTACCTGCATCAGCAGATTCTTGCGCTCTGGGGAATGCCCCTGGGCGAGATGTGGGATTTGGAGACTTTGGCGAGGAAGTGTCGCGCCGCTGGCAAGTGGACGTTCTTTGTCACGAGTGCGCCGGCTTATGTTGCGGGTACGTCTCTTCTCTCTATTCTACCTCCACCCCCTGTTTTACCCCCATTGGTGATTCTAAGCTTTTGCTGTTTGCTGTTGCTTCGATGTATCGATCATTGACTAACAATGACCAGGTGGTGTTGGCTCTCATGCAAACGC